GAGTTTCCCCAGACATTCAGCTGAGAATGCAGAAGCACAATGATTGCCATTACAACACAGTCTCTTTTTCCAAATACAGGAAATAAAAGGTTATATTCATAGTTTAAAAAGTGTGTTTTATATATGCTTCCAGATTTCTCATTTTCATTATTATTAAAGTCAAATGGAAATATCCTCATAAAATGTTCTAGGAGGTAACTGTAAACAGAGAATTTAAAAGCAAGCTTCTATTACAAAAGATAAAAGAAGTGCAATTCTATTTCCTTTCAGCAATCACTTATTGAATGCCTATTTACAAAGCACTGTACCAAGGCTGTGTGGTGGCAGCAAGGGACAACTAGATGCCTGAATTCTAGCAATTGGGGATTGAGAGAAGAAAAAGTATGACTATACTTTTCCAAGGGCAAACTAAAAGCAATATTTTTCTCCTGAAGTAATAAATGCTCTCCAAATTACTCTAGAAGCTGAATGAACCTTTCTAACCTGACCACTCTAGAAATTTGTTAGGGACTTCATTTACCATTAAACACAATAAGGATTATAGCAGAACTGTGGCAAACCTGGAACTAATATAATATTCTCTGGGGCCTTTTTTTTCTTTATAACATATATTATGACAATTTAACATGTTAAACCTTCACATTTGATTACAGAAAATATTCAATGAATTAAACATATCCATTGACAATCTGTGTAGTTTAAAAAGTTTAATTTGCTTATATAATTTAATATTTTTCTGAAAAGTTTATTTTAAAATTCTCTGAAAAAACTAATTCTTTCCAACTTATCCCCAAATTAATAAATTCACTTGAATGTAGATATTCAAAAATCTTGTTTGATATCACAGTTTTAAAGGTTGTCTCTAGTTCTTGTATGCTTTTAATGATTTTTGGTGACTCAGAGCAATTTGTGTCTTTCCTTTTTTCTTTTTTTTTTCCACAATAAAACCATTTAATGCACTCTTTTTTATGATTCCTGAAAGCTTCAGTATAATATACATATTTTAGATAGCATCATTATAAGGTCTTTCTAATGTTTTTGTAATTAAATATGCTTCATAACAAATATAGCTATAATATAACATACAGTGGTCTACAGTGACTTGTACAATAACTCTTAAGTGTACCATATTTTCTCTATACCCTTATAGTAGAAAACAGAAAATTATTTCCAATTGTATTACATTCAAGATGAAAATGAAGTTTTAAAAACTGTGCTGAAAATCCTAATTTAAATCAAATGGATCAAACTGGTATTTCTTTAACAAGATTAAATGGAAAATAAGCTTCTGTATTTTAAATGAGTTATTCATTACATTGTATATCGCATTTATATGAAAGGGACAATGATCAACTCTTTGGGACATAGGCCTGAGGATCATCCTCTACAAACTAAATCTCTAGATATAACATTAGCAGTATACTTTCTGTGCCTTGATTTTCTTATCTAAAATAGGAATAGCATATTGATCTACTGACATAATTACTATTCTTACAATCTAATGAGTTTAAATTATTAGAGATAGTTAAGCAATACAGGTCAAAAAACTTGCCTGTTGTAATGAATATTCTGATACATGTAACTTTTTCAGATGTCAATTCTAATGTGCTTTCATCAATAATTTGTTTAATTTAATATTCATATGAGAAAAGAATTCCTAAATCTTATATTTCTAATTATTAGCTTAACTTCCTAGTAAGAGGGTAATTCTATTTATGTTTGAAATAGTAACAACCTCCAAATTGATTTTTAAAATGTTAATTATGATAAAAATTAAAAGGAGCAGGAATATCTCAGAAATAATTTTAAATTATTATGTAATTAAAACTAAATTATATATGTATTTGGAATAAGAGGTTTTAATACTGCATTTTCATAAATTAAAATCAACTCATTTGAGATTTCAAACATTATATTTAATTCAATTGGTTCTTTTTCTCACCCTTAAAAACATACCACAATAACACTAACTTTGGCTGATGCTGTAGCTGAGTCCTAACATTTACTTTTTTTATTTCAAAACATTCAAACTACACTACAGATGTTTGAAGGTGTCTATTTGGCACAGCCACTAAAAAAAAAAGTCAAAATATATTCATAGACAAAAACTACAAGAGTATATTTTATTGGATCTACTGCCTTTAAAAGTTATTCCATGTAATAATCAATATTGTCAAAATCACTCCCAAAAAAATATTTGTTTTTTTCTTTTAATGATCCAAATCTATAGTGAAATGATGAAATCGAAAAACAAGTGTTCTTGTCAGAAGACAGGAAAAGAGGTTTTCCCCCCTCCCTTAACGAAAACAAAGGAATCCTGAAAGCTTTGCCCTGATTTATTTTTCCAATTTTAAATACCTTAAGAGTACCGGAACTGCTACTGGCATGGTAGTATTTCTAACAGTCAATAAATCTAAAATATTATGTGTGAATATTGGAATGAAGCCATTAAGAAGATTACAGCATGCAACACAGCAGAGGGTCCACAGGAAAAAAGAACTAGTAATTCAGGACAACTGTGACCACTGACCTTTGAACAGCCAAGACCACTGGTCAATCTGACACAATAATAGACTACACATGCATAGAAAGTCAGCTAGCCTGTAAGCATAATTTAAATGCTTTAGTAAATGATTTTAAAAGGCCCCCCCATTTAAATCTCAGTTAACCTATTAAATAATCAAACAATACTAATAGTAACATTTTTCAGGTTTCAAGTATATTTTATCAATTTAACTTACACACAAAAAATTTTAGTAAGATCATTTGTGATTTTAACACATCTCATTTAAAACATTTACAACTGTCCTGTCTAGTGGAGGCAGGGTAGCTTCTAAAAAATATGATGCTTCATCCTATTTTCTCCAAAATTGTAAGAGATAATTTTATAAAATTGATGAAATAGCTAAATTCATTAGAAATGGGTTCTAAAAATCACCTAAAATAGTTTTTGAAAATTATTATAACTCTAAACATCTCATACTTTCAGTAAATGGTCCGAACTCCACCTCAGAGCTGTTTTTGTTTGTCCATTCTTTAAATTTCTCTGTAAGTCCATGTCCTTTAATTTCAAACATATATTTCATCAATCTACACCACCTTTCAGTGTAACTTTTTATCTGTATTTTTAAATATTTCAGTTACATTTATATTGTTGTTTGTGAGTAAATAACAAGATGGTCCCTTCTGTCATTCGATATATTTAGACCTTTACATGTGTGAATATTATTTAACTTCTCGATATATTTAAATAAATGTTTTAATCATCAAACTGATTCTACTAGGAAAGTAGTACTTTTCAATTTAAAAAAGAACCACCCATCAAAAAATAAAATTTCACAGATTATTTTTCTCAATAATCATCTATGATTGAAGCTGCCTATAAAAATTTTAATATCATGTACAGAAAAGCTGAATTTATTTCTCTTTTTGTTCTTCTTTCTCTTTTTAACAAACAATCTTTCTCCTTAGGGCATTAAGAGTAGGAAGTACATGCACATAAGGAAAGCATTCTTAAAAGTTGGGATTCTATTTTCATAATTATTTCTCTATTCAGTGAATAATACTTTGATTGATTTTTAAATGAAATTTGTGATTTTGTTTTTGCAAAAATTTTACAATGAGGTAATCTAGTTACAATGAGCTGAAAAGATGTAATTGTTCACCTGGCCTAGGTTTAGATTTGTACATTCATAGCATAAGTTTTACTACAGTGAGATAAAGTAGTTCAATTTTAACGTGCCTCAAGTTCAGCAAGTATTTTAGGTTATTATGGGCATAAATAATCTGCTTTTGATTTTAAAATCATATTTTTCCTATCATTAGACAGAATGACAATCAAGGCTGATATTATTGTATTTTTGAGTTTAGGATTTTTATATTCACTTTCTCAAACTCCTTAATAACGGATTTCAAAGTAGTTCAATATTACAGAAAAATATACTATGAAGGTATTTTTATTCCCAATTTTTAATATCCATATAAAGGATAAATGCTTTTTTTAAAAGGAAGTTATTTTAACTTAGAACTATGTTATAAAAATATTTTTAAGTAGCCATTAAAATATATACAGAGATAGTACTAGTTTGCATTTTTGTCCTGTACTAAGGAATATGAAGGCCAAAAATAATGCACTTTTGGAGACTATTTAACGTGACATATAGAATATGTCCCATTATAAGCTGCAGACACATGCACACACATACAACCCTCCGCAAGATCAAAGACCAGGAGAGAACTGGCACTTAATTTATCAGCCTTTACAGACAAAAGACAGTTTTCATCATTTCAAAAGGATCAGATGTCTTTTATGACAAACTGGGTTTGCAGTTTAATTTACAAATAGAATTCTAAGTAAGCAGTCTTTGCTCTGCCAAAGCAAATGACAAACAGTGTAGGTTTTCATTCTTGTGGCCCTCAGCAGGATAGAAAAGATTAAAATAAAACTGAAATAATTTAGAGAAAACAAATAAATGTTTCAGAAAGTTGAGGAAGATCAAAGCCAGAATTTTCTGACCCCAACTGTACAAGCATTTCTTATTATATTGACCAGTAACATCAGATCATTAATTAAAAGGAAAAGCGCTGGCAGGTGGCAGGGAAGCAAAAGCCGATAATTGGCCCCCTTCTTCTTCTTGCCTTCAAAAACTCTCTCATTCTTTTGCAAGACATGCCACTAGGCAGACAGAAATGCCTACTTTGTAATATAATGATTAAGATGAGATGAAGAGACTTACGTTTAAAGAAACTCTGCCTAATGAATGCATCTAGCTTTTTAATTATGATCCTACTTTTACAATAAGGAATATGATATTCCATTCAAAATCTCAACTGCTAAAAGGTGAAAATATTAAATATAGAATCTACATTTATTCCTCTCACACCCCATGCAAATACCCAACCCTTTTATTTCAGATGTTAAAAGTGCAAAAAATAACTTAGTAATTCAGAGGTCCAGGAGAAAACATATATGTTCACCACCAAATATCCTACATACTTACCACATCACTTGGTAGGTTGTTCAAGTCACTAAACGGTGATTCTAATGTATTTGTATCAACATTTAACATAATCACATCTTCCAATGATTTATTTTTCACTCTCTGTTAAAAAAAAAAAAAACATACACACACACACACAATTATGAGTAAAAATCTTAGTACATTTACTTTACAAAATTATGATGAGCTTGGAAACAGAAAATATTATCTTAATGCATTAGGCTTGGGAAAAGAAAAATCCTATATTATAAAAGGATACAAACAACTTTGCCTTCTGAGAAAGTGTGACTACAACCCATTCAAAACGGTTTAGTAAAAATGCTTAAAATTGAATATTTGTTCATCTTATATTAAACATAAGTACGACAAAATTTATTATAAATTAGGCACAATTAAACTGCAAACAAACTATATTCTTTAAAATGTATCTGTTAAATTTCAGTCCCATGATACAAGAATTTGTGGCCAGCTCTATACCTAGTTTTAGCATAAATCATATTGCAGGGATAACATAAACCAATAACTATGACTACAACATTAAACTATAATTTAAATTTTTTATCTATATGCCATATCAATAGGTATATGTTGATGAGGAGGACTGAAAGCTTAATAAGAGAAAATAACAAGATAGTAATATGGAATTTGTTAGTAATATTTCTCACATGAATTTCAATAGAAGGTATCAAATTTAATAGCCTATCAGACTATCTTGACTTGTCAGATTTGTTTGAAAGTTTAATCAAAATAGTCAAATTATCTTAATATGTCTATAAATAATAGTAAATAAGAATTTTATCATATTTTTCATCTTTAAAGAAAATACTTATGGTTCATTTTTCCTACTTAAACTAATAGGCATACCTAAACAATTCATATAATTTTACTAGTCTTATTTAAATTATAACAAATAGTATTATTCCTTAGTGATAAGTGTTCATTAATGAAATATATTCATGAACTCTCAATTCCATGACTGTATAAGTCAACTAGCAATAGGTTAATAATCAATTTTAGTGTAGTATTTTTTAAGTGGTGATCTACAATAAGTCATTTTTGAAATTATCACTTCAAGCCTGATTATTACCATATATTTCAAATTGGCCAAATGGATTATTTTAGTTGGTCATAATTAAAATTTATCTGATCCATTTACAGTTTCGAATCTCTGCATATTAGAATGTTAAACTTGCTAAGGCATCATGTCTACAGTGAGGACATATGATTCTAGAAATCTGTCTTGTTTATTATTAAGTAAGACTTAAAAGATAGCCACTTCTAAGATATTAGCAGAGAATTGCTTATAGTAATACTATTGATACTACTGTAGAAATATTTACAAATACACTCATTTCCTTGTCTTTTCACATGTATACATATATATAAAAAGCTTTACGTATATAAACGTGTAGTTACCTATAAAATAACTACAATAACCTACTTTATAAGCAAAAACATATATTAATCACATTTGTATAAACAAAAGTCATAATTTTGATTTTCATCTTCAACTTTAAGTTGTCATTTTATGAAAGAAACTGTAAAGATAATCCAATAAACCTGATATATTTGTTAAGGGGTAAAATGAATTAGTCTATAAATAATTTAAGATAAAGCTATGTGCCCCCAAAATGTTTTGTGAGGACATTATCACTAAACTCAGAACAAGGAAATTGGTACTACTATGGCATGTACACTTTTTCCAAAATTGCTCTTAGTTTTAAAAATCTGGTCATAGCTGAATATTGAATTTTATTCAAGGGACCACTCAAAAAAATAGAAAAATATTTTCATTTCAAATTAATAAACTGAGAGCCCCCAAAGTGAAAACAATTCTATTAATACATTAGCAAAAAAGGAAAAAATAGAGTGTAACAATCGTTTTTAATTTGGATTAGTATCAATATATTATCTATTTTTTTCTCTCCTAATTAGACTTCAGCTATTTTTTTTCTAACTAGGCATGGAAATCATATATATAAAATGGTACCTCTTTCTCTGTTTCACTGTTATATATCTCATAAAGTTATGAGATACAAAATTAAGAAAAGACCAAAAAGAATGTCTTTTTTCTTCAAAAATAAGAAAATAATACTAGACACAGACTGAATGCTTATTAAGAACAACCATAAGGTGGTGAAGTTAGTTGTTTCTCACATCCTCTATATTTAACTTTTCCATACAATGTGGCTACAAATGTACTTAGGCACACTAATACAAAGAAATGACATAGTGGCAGCAATCACATGATCTTATAAAACTGGATCAACACTTTATTTAGAATCCATTGTATATTAAAACAAATAAGTTAATCCTCATATTTGTAGGCTCCACTAATTTATTCCTAATGACCTGCAATTTATTCCTAAGGCCTTAGTCTGCCTTGAGTTCATCCCCAAAGTCTACTTTTTAGGGAGAACAAAATGTCTTTTGCCTTTATTTTAGAAGAAAATTTGTATTTTAAAAAGATTCTGGCCATCCTTTACCTATAATTCCATTAAAACAATTGAAAGAATGATGTCAAGAGATATTAATTTCATGTCTTAGAATAACTATGTTTAGAAGTCGTTATATTAGGTTGGTGTAAAATTAATTGCGGTTTTTGCCATGGGGAAAAAAACTGCAATTAATTTTGCACCAACCTAATAAAACAATAAAATGTGTTACAGCTGTCTTGACCATGAGAGAGGGAATAAAAAAATATTTTAATTATTCCTTGAGAAAAAACTGGTTGTAACTGCCAAGCAGACTGCAAAAATTTATTCAGTTCAGTCTTACATATTAAATATGTAAACAGCTGTATCAGTATTTTAATTATGAGATCATTTTGGTGAAACTAAAAGAGAGAAGATAGAAATTTTAGTGAAAAAATCTGCCTAATCGTGACAAAACAAGAATGAAATTTGCAGGATTTACATCATCTTGTAATAGATTAACAAGAAAGTTGCTGAATGGTATCCAATTGTTTTAAAAGAATTCCCGAAGTCCCCAGTATAGCTCCTTATTCACTACTTTTTTTTTTCCAGACAGAGTCTCGCTCTGCCACCCAGGCTGTAGTGCAGTGGTGAGATCTCAGCTGACTACAACCTCCGTCTCCTGGGTTCAAGCAATTCTCCTGCCTCAACCTCCTGAGTAGCTGATATTACAGGCATGGGCCACCACGCCCAGCTAATTTTTGCATTTTTAGTATAGACGAGATTTCACCATATTGGTCAGGCTGCTTTCAAACTCCTGACCTTCTGGTCCGCCCACCTCGGCCTCCCAAGTGCTGGGATTACAGGTGTGAGCCACTACGCCTGGCCTCTCTCATTCACTATTAAACCAATTAAAATAATGCTATTAAGACACTTAGATAAGTCCAGAGTATAAAAAATACAGAGATTTTGACCAGTCTAATCATGGCTTCAAATATTCTCATTTAACAAAAAGAGCCAATTTAAAGTTAGAATGGATTATTCTCTAAGGCAACACTTTTTAAGGAGCAAATAATTCTTAAATTTGCTACTTAAGAACAGTGTTGGTTTTTTCTATAGTTATCCAAGAATACCTGATAAATTTAATTGAATGTTTAAAATATAAACCCTTTTATACAGTATTTTGGAAAAGCTGAATCATTTGCTTTAAAAGTTGATGTAGAATTATCATGCAAAAAAAAAAAAAACCTATAACATCAACAGGTAACCAACAACTTTAAATGTTTTTCTTCTCTATAAATAAATAATTATAAAAATTATGTATCCTATTAGATTCATTAGGAAGAGACAAGTATACACTAACATAAAAATCAAATTTGATGACACTTTTTAGAAAAGAATCCAACCAAGGTTAGATTTTAAATAAAGTCAAATTACTGATAAATAAAATGCCAGGCATATATTCCACAATCTAAAAACAAATTAAGTATCTTTCATTCATGTTTTATTTTATATAATTTATCCTTTCACTGGAAGTATCTTGGCATGTAAGAACAAGTTTTCTAAAAATGAATAAAAAATAAGGAATCATAAAGTTATCCAACTCAGACTTCAATATTACAAACAAACTTACTAAAGATATTCATTTAAATTTTTTTTGCTTTTGGTGAAACAAAATACAAAATGTTGCCCTGGCATTTTATGATGAGAAAAAAAGGGCAAAGCTAGAGGACATGTCGGATTCCATAACCTGGGCCTCCTAAAGGGGCATTACTCTCTCTCAATGATTCTCAGGAGTTTTAAAATATATCAACAGACTCATCTTTGATCAAACAAGGACTGATGGAGTGTATACCGTGATGGCAACTAAGAGGAAAACCAAAGCTAACTCATTTAGGTTACTCAGTAGAAACTGCGTTAAAGTACAATCTGTACAACCAGCAAAAAAAAAGAAACTTATCTGAATAAAATTGAAATCATCCAGCATAATTATAGCATTCAATTGACTCAAGTCTTTGTTTTAATTGGACCCTTTTGCTTATTTTGTTAGATGCTAATGCTATAAGAAGACCTTCCTGGAAATCTCACTGATTTCAAGTTCAAGGTGTTTATGGTTCAAGGTCTTTCAGTACAGGAATAAGTGACAAAAATTATTTTAAAATGATGTAGTAATGGTGGAAAAAAATTACTAAATTTTATATACCCCAACAGAACTGAAAATTAAAACTTAAGGCTATATTCTAAATTTCATGATTGGTATATTAAAGCCACATTTTAAAATATATATATTGATAAGTAGGAACATAATGAAGTCTGCAAAATAAAAAATTGTACTTCATGACTCATAAGTATATAAATTTTGACTTTCAAAATATAGGTCTGAAAAAGAGATCTAAATGATCACAAGTTGCCATTTTAAAAAAAGGCAGTTGATCAAGGACTGAAGTTTTAGTATTTAAAACCTACCATATGGTTTCTACCAAATAGAAACTACTTTTATGGAATTCATGCTATTGATAATGGCCATTTAGTATATTAATTTAAATGAAATTATTTCAATGTTGTCTTTTTCAAAATGATATACACACTGTATATATGAAACTAGTCACTTCTTTGTCATATTCCATTGATACTCCTTCAAAACAAAACTATTTTAACTATTATTTTATGAGTTAATTTTATCACTATCTCATGTCTGAAAGATACTCACCTCTATGAGGCTGGAGTGTATTCCAATCAGGTATGGCATTGGGGCACTAAATTAAAAATATATATATGCATAGATTCATATAGTTCATTAAAACTGAAACAACAGTGTAATTCAAAATGATTAAAAATTAAATGTATTAAATGCTCAGTTCCAGCATAACACATTATAGATATTCAAAATTACTCACTATAAAAAGCTCAAATTTAATCTTAGAGTCCATTAATATATTTAAAATTAAGGTTGCTTTTTATAAAAATAATAAAATCATTTATGATTTAATCAAGAGTTATAATGCCTAAAAAGTTCGTTCATTTCTTTTAAACTTAAAAAGAATATCAAGGTCTAGGCCATAGTCTGAATTGAATCTTTTCCATATACCTCATAGCAAATATATCCTAAATAATCATCAAATTTATTTACATTCCTTTAGCACATCTTTTTCTCTATTCAATTAAATTATTCTTTCTATGATATTGTTAATATATATCTTCATTGATTCATAGCTCCTATGTCACCAAATATTTGGGTCAGTCAGTCTGCAAATATTTATTAAGTCTTAACTGTTTGTCAGGCACTGTTCTGGAACTGGATGTACACAAGTAAACAATTTCCTCACTACTGTGCTATCTTTCCCCTCATGTACATTGTCTTTTACTTATTTAATTTTATAAATTCAGATTTATCCAACTTTCACTTTCATTAATAATTTTAATAAAATTAAAAATACTCAAGAGAATAATCTTGAATTAATTAATTCAACACATGACATTTGTAGCACAGCAGGTGCCAGGCCTTAGGGTAGAAACTTGGGAACAATAATAGACTACATAAACAGAGTATATTCCCTATGGATTTTACACTCTTGCAAAAAATATTAATACTTTTAATTATGTATAAAAATCAAATTTTAATACATAAAATAAGAATTGCTGTTATTTCAGAAACACCTCATGAAATACGAGAAGAAAATTAATTCAACTTGACATTTCAAACCTAAAATATTATCTAACAGAAAAACACGAGAATTGACAGGTATCTATGAAGGTAACAGCAGATATGTGAATAAATATTTTAAAATAAAACATTTTTGGCAATTCTTTTATAGACATCTTTGTGCTCTATTATCACACACCTTTTCTGTTAATGCAAACAGATAATCCTCTTTCTCAAAGGATTTGCATAATTTTCTAGACATCATTGTCATTAGAACAGAGCTGTCCAAATTTCTGTGTTCACTTTGCTACTGAGAACCAGCAATAGATTACATAGGCACCCTGACAGACCCAGAGATTACAAAGTAACCTTAAAAAGTTCCAGATTTATTTAAAGACAGCTAACCAATAATCTATATATCCAGAATTTACAAACTAAGTGTTAAAGTTCTTATTTTACTAGTCATTAGCCTGTACATTCTAGTTCATTACTTATTTTTTGTAATAGATTCTAATTCCCAGTTGTCTTTGCCCTTTGTAGCTTTGCCCCTTCCTATTTTTTTATTTTTTAATTTGAATGCAAGAGACCATATGGAATTGATCTGATATTCTGGATATTTCACTTGGCTGAAAGTTGAGAACTATTTATAGGCCTTGATATCCTTAAGACCTAACAGATTTTCTACCTTCAAAAGGAAACAGAAGGAACGAATGGGTACTGTTCCACTACTTCCCTAGTTCAGGTTCTTACCCCTGGAATTCCTTCTGGGACTCCAGAAAAGAAGACATAAAATGCATATCACTAACAAATCTAGGTCCACGACCAGGTTTTGATAACTTTAACAAAATCAAGTTAGGCAACTCCCATGATCTTAAATATGTCAAGCCCTGCCCATATCCAAAATAGCATAAAATTATTGAAGTCACCGTGTAAACTTCCAATTCACCTCACATTAGGTTATCCTACTCACAAGATTTAGAATACAGAAAAGCCCATGCTCTCTGAAATTTCAAAGCACATTTTAGTAAAATAGTTTTAAAATAGTTAAGCCCTCTAAAAACAATAATTACTAAGTCCATTTTACAAATGTTGGTGGGATAAATGGGTAAGTCAGAGTTTCATAAAATCAGAAGCAGTCTGCTAAATAATCTACCAAATACTAGCAAATACATCTAGGAAAACATTTTTTAAATTTTATGAAAGATATTACTTCTCTTTAGAAGTATAAAAAACACATTTATAAAAATTGTTAAGCTGGCATGAAAATATCAATTAAAAAGTTTGTATGCAAAATTTAATCATATAGTAACTTGAAACTTTTAAAATGGGATCACTGGTTATCTCCACATGTTCTCTTGTTACCAATTTCTCACAAAATCTGAAACATACAGATGTTAGAACTGTAAACATTATTAATCTAGGGACCAATTTCCTAAAATAATTACGCTTTGCAGAATATAGAGTGAATAGTTGTTTCTTTCTCACAAAAACTGGATTATGTACATCCTACTATGAAATCAGCAAAATCTCATGAAAAGTAACTTTGCAACCCTAGTTTAAATTTCCTAATTAGATTAGAGCATTAACAATTCAAGAATTCAAGAAGAGATTCTTGGCAACATAGATGTTTTGTCCTCTATGTGCAAAATTGTCCTATATCCTTTCTGTCAATGAAGTTATTTTGCAAAGATGGAATACAGATGTCTCCATTATGATTGCTGCTTCTTTTTAGCAGCAATTCATCTGTACTTAAGAATAGCTTTTTTTTTTCTTTTCAGGTTTTCTTACAAAGAGACCATTTATGATATAAACTATAACAGCAGCCTATTGGGGGTAGTCTAAAGAATATAATTTACCGTTTTTTGTTTTTTTTTTTTTTAAAAACCCTATCTCTTAGAAGCTAAATCTGCTCCTTTCATAAAAAAGTCATACAGCCTAAACAGTGACTCAACCATTCCCTGAACAAATAATAGATAATTATAATTTCACTAGTCCGAGAGTCATACTACCTGCTATGTGTTTATGGACTCGGATAGGTTAACAGTGCCTTGCAACATCAGAGACTCACCACATCAAAGTCCTCTTACATTGGCTGATTAGGGGAAAATGTAGATGGTGTCATTACCTCTCAGGGGCCTTCCCTAACCTACAAGGGAGTGTAGGCTACTTCTTCCTATGTGTTGCCATCCATGGTCTTTTGTATGCCTATGCTGTAATACTTATAGTATTGCAGTATTACACTGTGCTATGTGTGTGTGCATATGTAAGTATGTGTGTATTTCTTACTCTCTGTGAATCCTGCAAGGGCAGAAACTAAGTCTTATTCATTACACTGCATACTCACAGCTTGTCAAATATTAATAGATGGTCATTAAACGTTTAATGAATAAAGGAATGGATGAATGAATCAACAAAGTAGCAATGCTTTATTGGTGGACCAAGATGCAATATTCATCCATGGTCACAAGATGGCATTATGGCTCTCCACAGTCCAATCCACAGCAGAGCTACCAGTTGCAAAAATAGAAATACTTCATGGAGGTAGGTTTACCTCAGGATTCAGAAAGTTCCAATCACGTCAAAGAGCTAGCAAGTATCTTTTCTTATCAAATCTTCATGATACTATTTTTGAACTGGAATATAAAAATTATTTAATCAAATACTGAGATTGAAGGAATGATCTTGTAATTTTTTTCCCCTTTTACACGTAGATCGGTATGATTTTAACCTCGAGGATGGAAATGGAAGAAAACCATTTACCCTAGGAAACAGCTTAGTTTACCAAGAGAGCCAGAGATTTAGATGGCTATTCTTTAAGAAATAATTATACTACTCAGTTCCTATGATGGAAGCTGAGCCTACGTTTGTGACCCTAAGATTCAGGAAGTTTCAGATAACTTCTTGTTTGAATATCACTGATTTACTCTTTGAACCAGGGAGGTTTTTGGCATGGAAGCTGTTATAAGAACTTAACCCAAAGGCTATTTCAGACATTAGAAACTAGAAAGAAAATTCCAGGGACTGAAATAAGAAACAAGCTTCCTTCATTGAACTTGATGGGAGGGGTAGAAACTATCAGAAAAGCTCTCGAAAAAATTAGTACAGAACTGCCTGTATCACAGAATAGTTCCTAAGTAACATTTTAAGAAGTCTTAAATGTATAATTCATTACAGATCATTGAGCTTAATTAAAGGTGTTTTACCTTTTAAGAGGTTATTTTAACAGGAAAATTAAGATGGTACTAATATATATAAAATGTAATTCTAAAGATATATTATGTAAAACCATACATATTTCCAAATACTGCTATAAAATATATTTTTAAATAAAGTTTAATTACTCAACAGTATATACAAAGATCTACTACATATGTCAACACAAATAAATGAGATACCCTCCCTTTAAGGAATGCTAAAATCTTATAAGTATGTTGGTCAAAGAAAAACTCTAAAATGAATGACAGAGGGCCTATTTACAGATTTAGCTTTATTCTTAGACTTGTGTATGTGACACTTAATAATATAAACTATATTCCTATAGTTTCCTGACAAACTGTTTCTCCTTTCTAGTTCTCAAACAGCGTAACAGCAGTGGTAGGTCACTGGGCACCTACTTCACAGCATTATCAGTACTAATAATACTACCATGCTGTGGAAACACACCAATATACTAATACAATCAATATGTCGCCAAGTACATGAGTTGTCACTACAATCACTTGTTCTGAAGAGGGTTAGTCATAAAAAGTTAAAAGAAACCCTCTATGTATGAACTGAAATCATTTTTAATCCTTAATATTTTCTGCCTTTTATGAAAAAAGGAAGTTAAATGAATGCACTGATTCTAAAAGTGCTGTGTTTTAATAACATTAGCTATGATACAAGCAAATACATTAAGGTCAGAATTGTTTCCTTTTATGTGTGCACACACATAACACATTTCTTAAGAATTAGGCTATACCTGCAGAAGATGATTACGCAATGAAGATAACATATTTTCCCCCTAGTCTTGAGGAAGGCCCAGAAGCTGCCATTTAGGAGTCTAATCCTTGTTTAGCCTCATAAGTATGCAGACTCTTCCAGGCGAAGAGAACAAGGAGGTTCTAGAGGCCTGGTTATTGGGTGGGTCTTGGGAATTGTGTCTAATGCTAGGAAGCTTTTCAGAATTGCTCCAAATACTTTTCAACACTGCTTTTCATGGTAGCTCAAGGGTGAGACTTTGACTTACACCAAAAACAAAAATTATTGTATTAGAGACAACCCCTTTGTCAGTTCTTGGTATTTGATGTGCCATTATGGAAAAAAAGAGGGGTAAAGAAATGTGTTGTGAAGTAAAGGTAACAAGAATATTCCCTGACAGAGACAATGTGGTTTCTGGCAGACTTGCCAGACAAATTCTGACACCAGGATATTGGGTTCTCTAACTGGTAGCATAACTTCTGTACAGTTTTCCTAAACACAACGTAAAACTGTTCTTTTTCTCTATTTTACATTGAGTTATCTAAATGACTGCAGAAGAAATTCACAAAACCTAAAGAACTTTATGTTTGCTAAGTATAAATTTGTGGTACCTTTCTACAGAAATATTCCGTCCTTCATAAAAGTCCTCTTTACTATTTATTAATATATAAGTTTCCATGATTTCTTTTAAATATACCCCCAAATTTACCTAATTAACAAAGAAACAGATTTCTAATCATGAAACCTAAATTTAAAGGAGTCTGGCAAAAGCCAGCTTACCAGCAGTAGTCCAGCAGGTGTGGAGGAAGCACTGGGATGTATATGTGTTGCCAATACATTGGGTATAGGAGAGCAGCTGATCCATGGATACAGGCAGTTAACTAAAATTTGTAAAAGGATAATAAAAATAAGTAGCTGCTGACCCTCCAAACAAAAAGGAATGTTCAATGTATCAGTGATGAATGGTAATCACAGAACAATTTACATAATGACATAAATCACACTGTCTTTACCAATTCTACATGTTAAAAGTCTTATGTCTCAGAGGCCCCTCTGAAACATATATGAACAGCAAAAGTAGAATCATGTAGATAGTTATAATCATCTGAAAATACAGAGCTTGGGATTGAAAACTTAGAACATAGGTAAAACTGAAAAATTAGGTGACTATCTTAGAAAAATTGTAGGAAATTACAATTTGTACAGCATAGTTTGTGCATCACTCAGATTAATATAACATGATTAAATATGGAAAGGAAGAGAGGCTGAAAGCTCCTAAGGGATATCATTAGGGCAAATTGCCAAAGAATGAAACATGAGCCAGTCAGGAGAGTCTGGAAGCTGCAATAATATCAGGGGACTTGAATGTTCGACAGTTGGAGCTTCAGTAATGTGTGAACTGCGGGTTATGGTATCAAGAGACTCTGTTCACTGACACATAGAATGTCACTATTGACCAGCGAACTGCCCAAGCTTGACAGCTGTACTACAGGAAGCCAAGTATATCATAATTTCATATTTAAACTGTTCATTCCAGATTAACATTTTGTTTCCTAGCTTTATATCACAACAGCTGTAATTACATTGTTGCTATTTTAAAGGTAATTGCCATTTTAATTGTTTTGTTTTGGTAAGCAGTTAATTAAACATTTTTTAGTGCTTAAGAAAAGGATATCACTTTTTCTCCCTTCTTCTGATCCTCATCAGAATTATTTTAATGTGACTTTCTTTCCATTTTCAATTATATTTCTGTAGATGTAAAGTCATTTTTAAGTATACAGCAACAATTAAATCATTTTTAATCATTTTAAAGTTTTGCTATAGTCTGTATTTCAAGATTACCAATTAAATAACTTTATTCAACAGGAAGATCAGAATTTTTAAAAATCTGAAAATGAACCAGACTTTCTATAAACCATTATCTCCATTATTATACAAAGAAACTGAAACAAACCACATGATAATCACAATTAATTTTAAAAAATCAATGTATACAAAGCAATCCAAATCCTATTAGTAGCCACATTTGTCTATGTTTAAGTGCAAAATAGTTACATTACATAAAAAGTCAGTTAAAATAATTCAATTTGAACAAAAACCAAAAATTTTTATTCAAAGTATATTCATCTTTGCCATATGTATCAAATTTTCCAGTCAGGTTTTTAATCAGTTTTATATGGCAAACAATGTGTTTTGACTTCACTTAGGATGTTACCATTAAAGGATTTTATTAACTTACAAGCTTTAATAGGTTATCATAATATTCCTTCAATAAATATTACTTTTTAAATTCATTAATTAGAGCCACAAAATGCCACTAGGAGGCATTCAAATACTTCTACTTAACAATTATAGATCATGGATTTATTTATGTTACAAACAGCAGCTAGGGGGAAATGAAAGTGGGGTTGATCTAACTCATTGTGTCAAATTCTCCAAGAGCTCTCAGGTACTCCTTAGTTGTAAATTAGGCCTCTCTAAAGCTGTATTAACTCTTTCCACCACCCCTCCTTTTTTTTAATCTGATGGGGTAAAAGAGCTTATGTAGCTTTGAAAAGCAGCTAATTACTCAATTTCTCAATCTGTACTCAGACGACTTTTTAAACAGCTCATTTAAAGCTTTAAAAACAACAAAAAAAGAAAAAGTGTTATTTTTTTTGTTGTTACTAAGCAAATAAAAACTGTAGCAAGAGAAAAAGAATATGTTCTTAAAGTGAGGTGTTATGTTTAATAACTCACTTTATTTCACTGGGCATTTTTTTTACTGGGCAATTTATTTCAGTGGGCAAACCCGAAGTCCAAAGCACTGTACTAAATGCTATATAAATACTTCCCCTACCTCCTTGCTGAGCTTCCTCAAATGAAGTTTTATGAGTTATTCACTAACAAAATTCAACATTATCTAATGAATTTGACTAATTTCCTAGAGAATGGTTTCTGTAATTATATGCACAGTCACAACATTTCTGCAATGGCCAGCATCTGGCAGAGGGTTGTGCCTGCTAATAAAGATCTACCAGGAGAGAAAGAAGCTCTATAGGACTTGGCAACTTTCTGGATGTGGGAGACAGGTGACAAGGAGAGGAAAAAATGTAAAACTCCTCCCCAACTACAGTTCTGAAACTAAGCAACCAGAATGAATTACTAAAGGTAACACAGCAAACATGTCACGTTTAAGTGAAATTAGAAGGAATCTGCTTTGGCAAGTATTTATTCTGTTAACCATGAGACACCCAAATGGATATTTCCAAAGAAGACAGGAGCATCCCAAAGACGACCCCCTATATTCACCTAGTAGCATGCAAGAGTTGTGTAACTTTAAAAAAAAAATGAGAAAATACTATTATGGCATATTCTTTTAGAAAAGATAGCAAAGTTGCATGTAAGTGGAATAAAACAAATTTACTAGAAAATTTAACACAATCATATGTAAATTGTATAAAATCATAACAAGTACGTTATAGACTAAAAATTAGGTCTCTGCCACCAACAAGCCATGTGACCTCTGGCACACCTGCTAATATAATCAGGTCTCAGTTTTCCAATCTTTAAGATAAGAACTCTATGCTAGATAATCTGCAAGCATTTTTCTCTCATAAATCAAATATTCTTTATTCTTAAATCAGATCAATTCTATCTTTTTTATATTCTCATGTACTGAGATTTCTTCTATCCTAGTGGCTAAAGGGATATTATGACTGGACTATAATTCAGATCTACTTTCAAAATATATCTAAAGGCAATCTCTAAGTGCTTTAAAGCCCAAGATAATTATGCAACTGAAATATTGTAATTTATTTTCTTAATTCAACAAAAATTTTGAGTGCTTGCTATATGGAATCAAAATTCCTATGAGGCAACAGGGACACAGCACTAAACAGAACAAAGTCCCTGTTTCTATGGAGCTTACGTGTTAGTGGAAAAGCAAACAATAAACAAGTAAAATCAACACGTTAGTTAGAGATTAGATCTATAAAGAAACCCGAAGAGGGGAATGATGGGGGTAGGAGGCTATTTTAGATAGGAGGATTACAGAAGAACTCTAATGTGGTGACATATGAACTGAAACCTAACTGAAGGGAGAAAGCAAACTCGTGGATTTGGGAAGAAGAGAGTTCCAGGTAAATTAAACAAGGCATTCAGAAGTCCCAAGTGGAACATGCTGGGCATCTTCACAGAGCAGTGGGAAGGCCAGTGAGATTAGACTGGAGGAAGTGGGAGAATGGCAGGAGATGAGGTCAGACAGAGAAAGAGTCAATGACGAAGAGCCTTCTAGGACACAGCAAAGACTCTGAAAGTTATTCTGAATGAGATTTTTACACACCTCTGAAGACAGTGCTATCATAATATATTATTTAACTGGAACATTTTGAGAATATACAAATTAAAGAAAAATAAACTAGATATTTTAGAAGTTTGGTTTGCAATATAAAGTACCACAAAGAAATGAGAGCAATTTAATAAGCCACGTAAGAAGAATTTTATTAAAGTGATTTATGATATATGAAATCTTTAAGCTTAAAGGAAAATGAAATATCATATAGTCTTTCTTTGGGCTACTATCCAAGATCACATATCTGGTCAGAGACAGGTTGCTTCTTTAAAACCACAGTTCTCTTCACAAAAGTAGAGAAAAGGGTAAGGAAAAGAATTTCCATGTTTCAGTTCAAACATAACTCTGGCATTAAACCCTGAAACTGAGTAATAGACTGTTAAAAATTTTTCGAGAAAAATGAATTTACCAAATAAAAGTTTACGAAAAAAAAATTCTTATCTTGATGTGGCATATGAATATTTAAAATGCACATATATTTTCAGCATACCGAATATATTAAACTAATGCAGTTCCAAAGAGCTGATTAATACAAAATAAAAACATTGGGAATACTGATTTACTATGGACTCCAATTACAACATAAGCATATATAGGAATCATGAGACAGGACAAGAACTAATGCCCTTTGAAACCAGACAGAGAAAACTAACAGTAAGGTCAGCAATAGTTAACTTAGTCACAGAAAAACGGCACTTGAAACTTCTGGTCTCCAAGTCACCAGGTCTAAATATAGACACTGCCATTGAAAATAAGAGCAACAATGAATGTTTATATAAAGCTTACCATGTGCCAGGAACTGCTATGAGTACTTCAAGTACTCATATCTAATCCTCACAGCAACCTCATGAAGTACTATTATCGTTATTTCTATTTAACAGATTAAGACATTAAGACAAAGTTCAACCCAATTGCCCATGATCCTAAGCCTGTAAATAGCAAAGCCAGGATACAAATGGAGGCAGGCTGGATCCAAAGTATAGTAATCACTATTTCAAACTGCCTTCAATTTAAAAGATTTTAAATTCCCATCATTATGAGGCATTGAATAACATCTACTGACTGAAAATACTGTGTTTTATACTAATTGTATAACAAAGAATGCATCTTTGGACCAAACAGTCAAACAAGAACCATTGACCTTTGTATGAGAAATCTATGATAGTCAGAGATCTGGTTTACAAAACTTTCCTCAGGCAATGTGGTCTGTCCCAGCAGGACACTAATGGAACAGACTCTTTCAAGAAATGTTAAAAGGATAAGATCATTGATAAAATTTCTCCAAGTTATCATCTCGACTTGCATCTGTGACTACACCTAAGTTTGAAACCAAACCAAGGTTGTCTTGCTTTGTGATACAAAATCTGATTTGTTCCTTCTTCTTAAACTATATTTACTAGAAGATATCAGTCTATTAATAAAACTAGAATTGTTTTAAGCAATTAAATAGGCATGTATTTTGAGAGGGGAGAAAGAGACATTTATCAGATGCCCATGGACACAGCAGAAAAACAGTCCATCTAGTATAATCACTACTATAAATAATAG